AATTTATCGTGAGCAACTGGAGAACTCGGGGAAATACTTTCTGTCTATGAATAAGGTACACTAGTGCAAAATCCCTCAATTTAATAATAATAATAATTATTAATAATAAAAGATAGATCCATTGGGTGATCATGGTCATGAAAACAACTTAAAAACATTTTTAAAATAATTAACAAAAATAAATTTCACTTATTAAAATTGTCCCTTTCGTATGCCCAGCTTACTGATATATCGGGAGACCAATCTGAATAAATTTTTTTTATTTTATGTACCTTCAATACACTGAAAATAATAACAGACTATAGTCAATATTATCGTTATTTTAAAATATTTTTAAAAGTAATTTCCATAAGTTTTAAGTTCTAAGTTCTATATTATTTATCATTGACCAATTAGCCTGTACAAATATTTATTAATTTTACAAGGAAACACCTATATATTATCAAGTTTTAAGTTTAGGAAAATGCTTTAAATATTCTTTAGCCTATTAAATATTACGATCGTAATAAACAATACTTTATAAATATGATTAAACTTAATATACTTTTAAACTAATTCTTATAAAAGCGACATTTGTGAATTCTTTTTTTCAGAAAGACAATTCTTCACTTAATTTAGCACAGCCAAATTAAGTTCGGTATTAATTGAATCAGCCATACAAGCCTGTAGATCTGAGCCTTATTATCAAATAAGTTGATCCACAACGAGGTCTCTGATACAAAAGTTATTGTTGTTGAAAGAAGTCGGCATAATTTTCGAGGTAACTGCCTCATTTGTCCGTACAATTGCGATTTGGCTTTACTTCTTAGTAGAACAGAACTGCGGTTGTTGGCAGGTTATCTAACAAGTCATCACGGCCTGGGCTATTCTATTAATCAGAACGATCTGTCTAGGAATAGAAAATATTAACTCTATTTGTAGGCAGATGAGACCTCTAATTCTGTGAATATTCGGCTAGAATATGGATGAGGAGGAGATCACTGTTCGTGGACTTCCTCTTTTCGATATTAGAATGTTCTCAACAACAAAGTTTTGACCTTCATTCCAAGCACCTACTTACTTGTAGGTATTTCTATGTTTCAATGATATATAACTTAATAAACACTTCTAATATTCGAGGTAATAATATGGTACAACTCTTAATTGAATCTAACACTTGTTTCAAAAGACGACTTTAATACATTCATTAACCTATTTGCATATCGTATATATTTTTGTAACTAAAATTAATTAAATTCTTATAAACTATCACGCTCTCTAAAGTTACATACTATAAATTACAATAACCGTATAATTATTTTGCAAATTTCGTTTTGTAAAAATTAATTATAAATAATTTTTTAATATACATAATATTGCAGAAATGGTGTTTTAACTTAGTCTCAAAGCTTGTAACAATAATAAGAAGATTAAGCGAATTTTATAAATTATGTATATACTTGGGGACCTGTGATAAACAAATATATCTATATATATTTATAGTCCTTTTGTTTGTCTATTTCAAAGTACATCCATTTATATGAATTCAATAACATTACATCTCATACTAACATGTGTTACTTGTAATTACTAACGAAAGGCCAGTTTATATCTTGAATAATCCTTAGATGTTCGATGTTGGATACTAAAGTATTACATAAAATTCAAAAAAATTTGAGGTTAGATTTAGTTTAAAGCACACCTATCGATATTAGTACTTATATTCGGAGATAACTCATATTAGGTGTGGTTAGACTTTTAGATCACGTATGAAAAAAACACATTCTTACATATCCTTGAAGTATATCTAAAAAGAATTTTCACCGAAAATTAATCTATGAATCAAATTAATCAGAAATCGATTCAGAAAATATTTAGAGCTTACTAGTCACAACTGAAGTGAAAGGGATTACTTAGTAATAAAGTATAGGGCAAGCTTTAATATTCGCATCAATGGACGAACGAATAGCTAATGTTCGAGCCCATCAAAAACTAGCCGACTACATGTCTACAATTCATGGAGAATAACTTGTAAAGGGTCCAGTACTGTAAGATGTCTCGTGTAGCATTTTTGAATAATGTTTTGTTTCATAAGTAATGGTAAGGTCCAAGTAATAAAAATTTAAAACAAATCTAGATCAAAAATATATTTCATTTACGTTTACTTTCGGGACCACAAACTGGATAAAACTATTTTTATGCAAGGGTGTGCGTTCCTATATGTTATAATTTTACTTTTTTTGGATTGATTTAGTTAAAGATATACTGAATTGAAAATTCAATGAATAAAACCATCGAAATTACTTTGAAATTAAAATAGATTTGGAACTAATAGATTTATGTATGTATAGCATTACAGCTTCGACATAACCAAAGAATTTTTCTATTGTTTATATTTTTAAATCAAATTAAATAATTATTTTTTTTTTGTTAAATGAAGTTATGCAACAGAATGATGTCACGAAAACAATTTATAGAATAATAAATATCAGACGTCATCGAAGTTCAATAATTCAAGTTGTTATTTAATTATTCATTGATATTAAATCAAAGAAATTTAAATAATAAAATTACTTCTTAAGAAAAATAAAATAATTGACTTATATTACAGAATTTATTTTCTATGACCCGACATCTATCTTTGAATTGAATAGGCAAGATATACTAAGGGCGTTTTCGATTGGTAATTCTGGATTCAATCTAGATTTACTTCTGATCTGTCAAATTTTGTTTTCCAATCGAATATTTTTAAAGCAATCTAACATTTTTGTAATACTGTTAGCAGTATTTTTATTTTAGTATTAGTATTTTTATTTTTCATAAATATATATATGCATATAACGAATCAAACCACATTTCTTTTATCAAGTCATATAAAACAGCTGTTAATTGCAAGGTATCTTGTTACTCTGGCAAAATATCTAGTGCATTATAAATTATACTCAATTCTTATACATTTCGCTCGAGATTTAACAATCGAAAATGAAAACTGCACTAAAAGTGAATCTCCAATGAATAAGTTACCCCAGATTTACCAATCGAAATCGGTATAAGAATGAATTTTTGGGTTGATCAAACAGTTGTTTCGAATACCGCTAAATATCTATTATCATAGCAAGGTTTAAAAAAATTTTTTTATGGTAATATAATTAACAATAGATTTAAAACAAAATAAGTAACTATTTCATTCATCAATGAATTGTACTGCGATGCTTTTCATATTAAGTAATTTCGCTTCAGATTTAAGGTTACCGTAATATGAAATAATGTAGCGTATCCTAATTCGTTATGTACCTATTACGCATATCGTGAACAAATTTCTATCGGGGTAAACTTAGACAAGATTATAGTCTTAAGTGTATAACTATAAAGCATGATACTCTTAGCCTTAGATACCCTTATGTAATTAAAAAATGGATGAGATAACCATAAATAGCATCTTAATATCCTAGGAATATTTCAGGAAGATATGCTGTTCCTGTATGAAACAATTCTATACAAAATCGAAAGACTCCAATAATACCTAAGATAACCCTTCTTAATTAGGAACAAATCTATTGTTGTTATTGATAGACAATATTGAGTTAACAGTGTGGGTTTGCACTCTGAATGATGAAACCATTTGAACTGAAAATTTGTACGGGTTGCAATCTGGCACGCTTTCACATTACGGTACGAGTATTAAAAATTTGATTGAAACCAGTTATTGTTGTCAGATGCGTTTCAAGGTATCGTATGGATTTTTATGGTAAACAATTTCGGTTCTGGACCGCATTGAGTACTGAAAAGGCCACCGTAGTGTATTCCTATGCGATCTAGATAATTTTACCCTAAATAACTGTCCTAAACAAATTTTTAGCTGTGTTAGTTATAGTTTTAAATACTTCTTTATTAATACTGTAAACCATGTTTTATTGTTGGATATTATGTTTGGTTTATTATTGGCTTTGTGAATACTATATTTATGGAGCTCTAAATAGATCTGTTAAAATTTTGAGTACCTTGTGTAACAGCATATAACTTATTTATGGTATATTGTATATATATATATATCTATTATTAAGGCCGATTATTATTATAGAGTATTAAGATAGAGTAAGTCCTGCTAATAGAGTGGAAACTTACACTGACAGCCCCAAACTAATCTATAGAGGCGACAGTAAAATCTTTTCTAATAAATTGGATCATAACGTTTCGTTTCGTCTGTCTAACAATTGCAGTGCCTTTCAAAAACAGATAATGGCACTTCACTATGCAGTAAAACCTTGAGTCCTAAAATAAACGGTTCTTGATAGTAAGTTTGAAATCCACACTGACAGCCCCAAACTAATCTGCAAAGTCGGCAGTAAAATCTTTTCTAATAAATTGGATATTTAAGTATTCCTTCCTCTACCTGACAATTACAATCCTTTCAAAAACAGATAATGGCAATTCACTAAGCAGCATAATCCATACACCTGACTCCTGAGATATAAGTTTACTACTAATAGGTTTGAAATTTACAGTACAGCCCCAAACTAATCTACAGAATCTACAGTGAAATCTTTTCTTATAAATCGGACCTAAACATATCGCTTCATGTGCCTGACAATTGGAGTGCATTTTAAGAAGAGGTAATGGCAATTCGCTATGCATCCTGAATTCTAAGATATATGATTTCTGATATGATATCATAAATATCTCGCACAACCAAGCTGTAATTAAATCACTGAGAGACGCTACCAGCTAACTCTTTTGTCGTTAGTGAATGGCTCTTGTCGTTGGGTTCTCTCAACGAGTTGGCAATTAAATGCGGATTCTTGTCAGATCACAAGAGTCACCAGGTACAAATTGTTAAAACTCGTATCAGTCAGTTACTGCCATTATATATAATATCTTATGACATAACTATCAGAGATTATGATTAGCTGATGTGCAAAACAATAATGCTCTTAATAATGCTTTTAAAAAGGCTTTTATTGGATATATAATGTAATAAGTGCCTACCTGTAGTTAAGAAAAAATATTCTTAAATATTATTATTTTTTTTTTGCGTTTTATTATGCAGTAATTAACAAAAGAAGGTTGTAAACAAAAATTCAATTCAAAAAAATTAAATTCTTAATAATAATTTTCAATTATTTTGCCATTATATTATCAGAGTCAGGTACTTTGTTAAGTATATTCTTTTTTAAATTTCGAATTTTTCTATTCCATGTGCCTTAGCTTGTTCCTTGAAGCATTTGCCATACTCTTCAGCAGCATCGCAATGATCACTGGAAACTGCAAGACCCTCACAGAAATCAGCAATTTCAGTAGCAACCACCATCTTTTCAGCATCACCGTTGGTCCACTTTACGGCATGTTCCATACCAACAGCTTTATCAAATTTACCATCAGCGTTCATCTAAGATATGAACATTTGAATGTATACAGTAAAATACCAAATAAAGTGATAAAGTGCCTGAGTATACTTATCACACTAATGACTTATAACATACCACTTTATATTTCTTCATCAGACAAGCACGTAAGCATTTTCCATTCTTGCCAGATGCTGGCTTCTTATTTAGCATATCATCAATATCGGCTGAAAGATATATGTAATTAAATATAGATGAACATACATGCAAACTTTAAATCTACTAACCAGGTGTAGCTCCTGTTTCAGTTTTGCACGCCTCGGCATTATCCATGAACTCTTTGATGGCACCAGTTTTATCGAAATCTCCTTTAGTGTATGCGGCAGAGAGGACACAGAGCATTGCTACTAAAATGATTTTTGCCATTTTTAAGATTTTTGATTTTGTAATTTCGCTATTGGTTGACTTGTTTGATATTTTATTGTTAATTTCTGACTGATTAAATAAGTAACTTTGTTGCTTATTTATACTAACTAAACTTGTGTTTGAATAGATGTTCAAAATACGTGTTTCATTAGCTGTCCATTGTGTTTTTCCATATTTGAATAAATAAATCTCTCAGCTGTGAAATTATATATTATGACACCGGCTGGCTGATGCCAATTTTATACAGAAGGTCTCCCTCGGTTTCAGACTCTGTATCAGTATCTGTTTGTTTTGAACTTGAACATCTCACGAATTGACATGTTATCAAATATTGAACCTTAACCAAATTTAATAAAAATACTAAAATAATAAATAATTGTTTTATTTTAATTTTAAACCCAAACTGTCAACACAACGTATGAGTGAGTAATTCTAAGCGACCACAATGACATTGCAATACTCGGTAGGAAGGAAATAACTTTTTATTTTAATAATGATATAATGATATATTAACATATAACTAGTTAAGCTATTACTAAGAAATTGTTAATGACCTTGTTATCTTTCAATTAATATTATGAAACTATCTGAAAAATAAAGTTATCCCATAATATTTTTAAATTCACGTACTCAATTCAGAACAAAATAAATTACATGGCTTTTCATTCATACTACCATTATGCTCAACATCATAATCATAATCATCATTATAATCATAATCATTAACCGTATCATCATCATCATTCTAATCATCATCAGCAACATCATAATTATCATTATTATCCTTATCCTTATCATCAGTATAACCAACATCAGCATCATTTAAAATTTAAGTAGACTTTTGATAGTTTAAATAATAGATACAAAGCCATTGGGGAATCTCATGAAGCTAACTTTACATAGCACAGTGGTTAATATTGGATGACATACAACCTATCCGCCGTTTTTTTCCATACTTATCATCATTATCATCATCGTATCAATATAACCAACATCAGCATCATTTAATATATAAGCCAGCTTTTGATAGTTTAAATCATAGATGCAAAGCCATTGGGGAATCCCATGAAGCTAACTTTGCATAGCACAGTGGTTAATATTGGATGACATAAAACCTATCCGCCGTTTTTTCCCATACTTATCATCATTATCATCATCGTATCAGTATAACCAACATCAGCATCATTTAAAATTTAAGCCAGCTTTTGGGAGTTCAAATCGTAGATGCAAAGCCATTGGGAAATCTTATGAAATTAACTTGCATAGCACGGTGATAAATATTGGATGATATAAAACCTATCCTTCGTTTATTTGCATACTTTTGAAAAAAGTCTTCTTTACTAATTTTACTAAAGTTTATATTCACCATTATTATTTATGGCCTTTTTGCATTTTTCGAGTAGCTTCATGAATCCTTCGGTGTATAACTTCTGTGGTTTACCGACGAATAACTTGGTGCAATGATTTTCAGCCAATTGTGGAGGATTGCCAGAGTTACCGATCTTATTAAGTTTAGCTTATAAATACATCACTATAGTTAAACACCAATTTATTGTTCCATAATAATCCTTTATTAACTTCTTTCATAGGGTTTTACTACTGACTGCTCCATTAGTCTCTAATTTTGTAGAGTTTTGTAGATACCGAAACTTTAGAAGATATCAGAATTCTATGAACTTTACAAAAAAAGTAAATTCATCACAGGAATATTAACAGGAAACTCTAAACTAAAACACCGCCTTATGAGACTAGACACATATATGGATACAAACTGTAAATTCTACGAACAGAAGCATCAGCCACACATGTGCTGTTAGAATACCCTTCGCTAATGCACATGCGGAATAGATTTCTGGGAATGTATAACCTTACGAAAGAGGCAATAAAACTCTGTCAAGTAGTGATCTTAGACAATTATCGCTTGCGTTAAATCAATTAATCTCCCGTAATGATTCGCTTTCAATACTTACAGTACAGTAATTATAAGTTGGTACCCAAGCATCAAGAGTCGCTATTTTCTAAAAACTTGCATGTCGGTTTTTTTCCACTAGTTGCTAACTTTTATTGACTTTTTAATGATAGAAAACGGTGTATATTATTTATATTACCTAATTTTATTAATTTCCCTTGTGGGAAATTTAATTTTAATGGATTATTTTTTGCATTCGACATTTTTGGTCTAATTTCCTTTGATTTATTGATTTATTTTCAAAAAGGTCATACCATATATCCACTGATTAGTAAGTTATTTACTTAGTAAAACTTATTTACTTAGGTCGTGTGCGAGTTAGGCTAAGTTGATGCTAAACCAAATGGGAGATTTTTTGGGATTTTTTGCACTGCACACATTTAGCCATTTATCAACACGTATCGACACATCACTATATTATCGGCTCATCTTAGAATTTCCCTTATTTAGAACGCAACTTAGCCTAACTCGCACACGTCCTTAGTGAGTTACTTAAGTAACTTCAAGATTTTTCTCTTCCGTTGAGACTTGAATTACTTATTGCATGCGAACGAGCTTTTATGTGACAAGAAAGTTTTTTGAAAGTTCTAAGAAAGCTTTTGTTTTTTTAAATCACCTTCACTTAATAACATACCACACACAAAATTAAAGCCGTGTTCGAGTAAATTAAGGTAAAGTAAATTGAAATTTTTTGCACTGCACTTATGTAAATATTTATTTCTTGCACTTATTTATTTTTTGGTTAAAAGTTTTCAAAATTTATTCATTTATTTATTAAGCATCTTGCAAATTGTTCACAATGGTAATACCTAATTTATATAATTTTTACCTAATTTACCCTACACAAAATTCTGGTAAACACCAACATTCGCTGCCATAAATTTTTCTCAATTTACCATGAATTTACTCGAACTCGTACACGGCCTAAATATATATATATTAAAATATGTGTAAGCATTTTTGTTATTGTCATTTGTTTAATTTATTAGTACGTTTACCAACACTGCTGTCGATAACATAGTTCACAATACAATCACTCACTATTGTTTTGACATTTGACGAAATAAAATAGTTGCGGCGTGTGTTTCGTATTCTTTCTGCTCTTTATATTAAACTTGTTAAAAATCAAATAAAATAATGGATGATGAAGCAGAAACTTACAAACTATGGCGTATTCGCAAAACAATTATGCAGTTAAGTCATGACCGTGGTTATTTAGTAACTCAAGACGAATTGGATCAAACATTGGAGCAGTTTAAGGATATGTTTGGTGACAAGCCTAGTGAAAAACGTCCCGCGCGTGCTGATTTAATAGTTCTGGTTGCGCACAATGATGATCCTACCGATCAAATGTTTGTCTTCTTTCCAGATGAACCAAAAATCGGCATCAAAACTATCAAGACTTATTGTACGCGCATGCAAGAAGAGAACATACACCGTGCAATTGTCGTAGTGCAAGCGGGTATGACACCTTCAGCGAAACAATCACTTGTCGACATGGCACCAAAGTACATACTTGAGCAGTTTTTGGAGTCGGAATTGTTGATTAATATTACTGAGCATGAATTGGTGCCAGAACATGTAGTAATGACACCTGAAGAGAAGCAAGAGTTGTTAGCTCGTTATAAATTAAAGGAAAACATGTTAATGCGTATACAAGCTGGTGACCCCGTGGCACGTTACTTTGGTTTGAAACGTGGACAGGTTGTTAAGATTATACGCTCTTCCGAAACTGCTGGACGTTACATATCTTATCGTTTAGTATGTTAGGCGGAAAATAAAATGGAATAGAATAAATTTAAGTTTTACAATATAAGAATTAAAAATAAAGTACGAAAAAATTTATATTTTGGATTATTTATTTTTATAGTTATTTTTAAGATGACATTTTGTTTGATTTTTTCCTTAAGCCTGGCTTAAAAATATAAAAAAATACAAAACCAAAATTATGTCAATTTTTTGACAATATTTTGGGTATTAATACTCTATGGTTAAGATGATATTTTTTTTAGTTTTTTGGTTCGTATTACATACAGCGCTTTGTAAGTTAGTTGCGTATCACTTGGTTCAGGCTTTTGGTTTTGTTTTAAAACTTTACAGTTTAGTTGAAGGATTGCTTATTTTGAACAATTGTGGACACATAGTTACGTCGAGTTGTTGAGACAACAGTACTGTTGATGTGCATAAACTTGTTTGTTGAATGTTTTGTATGAAAAGCTTTAATATGACGATTTAAATACCTATTCGATAAGTATCTACGTCCACATACTTCACACACTGCGTTGCGTATACCATAGTGTAGATTTTGATGCTGCAATAGCGCACCATTTGTATAAAAAGTACGCCTGCAATTAGAGCATTGATATGGTTTTTGTCTCAAATGTGTACGTTGCTTGTGACGATAAAGCGTTGAATAATTTCTGAAAGTAATTCTACAAATTGTGCACTGATACGGTCGCTCATTTGTGTGTTGACGTTCATGGCAGTTGATTTGTCTTTGCTCAGCAAATCGCTTATTGCAATACTGGCACTCATAAACAACACCTTGGAGACGATTTGAACATCTCTGATTATTATTCAAGTGTTTAAGAAGTTTACTTTTGGTTTTGAAAACAACTTGACATAATGTACATTGATAAGGTAAAACATGCCCACGTAGAAATGTTAACGCTTCATAGAGATTAGGGTATTTACAATAAAAAACCTTCTTGTCCTGCTGACATTGTAAGCGTATATATTCTAATGCGCTGAACCAATTATTGAATTTTGTTAATTGCATTGCCAATTCGTCAATTGTGTTAAGATGTAGTTCCTGCAGATCCACAACAACTTTTTCGTATAACTGCTCCAAATCCTGTGTGTGCATGAATTGTTCAAAATAGTTTTCATGGTTAATGTTCCAAAGACTTGGTTGATTTTCATACAATTCTATTAGGTTTATTAACAGAGACTCGTTATTTGATGTATCCCGCACATCAAAAGGAGAGATATCGGCAGCACTTTGTAACGCTTCCTCATCACACAACTGTAAAAAATTACATATACATTTTTGTAATAGTGAAATTATTTAATTTAGTAATTACTACTTACATTATTACCAAATAATTTTTCACTATCAGTGTCCAATTTTGCATTGTTTTGAACTTGAATATGTTCCGACTTTATGTGTTCCATAAAGTCTTCTAGGCTTTGATACTTCTCCACGCAAAATTTACAGCAAATAATAAGTTTATTCTCGATGTTATTAAAAACCACTTCGCCATATTTCAGTTCTGTCCCTAGACTATTAAATAAATATTATTAATATACAATATTAAAATTATTACAAAAACTAATGGCTAACATATCAAACTGTGATTGAGTAACATCAGTAGCTGAGTTTGCAACATTTGTGTTAACTTGATTTAACCAATTCTTCACAGTTTCAATTTTATCAAGAGGGCAAGTATTGGACTGTGGTTGAGTAACATCAGTTGATAAATTTTCAACATTTATATCAACTTGCATTAACCTCGTCTGTGCAGTTTCCGGTCCGCAAGTGTTGGAGTATGATTGTGTAACATCAGTGAATAAATTACTAACATTTGTATTAACCAGAATAAAGCGATCCTGTACAGTCTCTACCCTATCAGCTACGCAGATGTTGGACTGTGGTTGAGTAATATTAGTAGGTAAACTTTCAACATTTGCATCAACTTTCATTAATTCATTTTGCAAAGGTTTTTGCTTGTTATCAACATTGCGCCTAAAAACAAATAAAAATATAATTACAGAGTGTCAAATTAACTGCATAATATTACGTTTTCTTAGGATTCTTTAGAAGACTCTTTAACAATTCTTCTCTTAGCGTTTCCGCACAATCATCAGCGTCACTTTCTTGGTTAGTTGCAGAGGGCAAAGTTGGTACTGCACCTGGCTTAAGTCTGCGTTTTGAAAGCGGTGTTTCCATGATCACATCTATAAGACGCCACGCACTTTCTTCGAAATGTACACCACAAACGTAGCCGCTTGTTACTTGAAGGGATTCGCACCATTTCTGCTGTAGCTCTTCATTGGCTGGATATCGGACGAATCTACCTTCATAAAACCATTCCGAAGATTTCCTATTTGTGTTTTTGCAACCCGGTACATTACATTTTAAGCTCATTTTTTTTTTAATATGTTAATAATTCTGAATGAACTTATCTGAGAAATCAAACAGTGTCCATTCAAAAAGTTTAAAATAAATTTTATTTGTTCAAAAGCCAACTGTCAAACTTGGGCTAGTGTGCAATAGTAAAAAAATTCAGTGCTTACTATTCTTTTAAACAAAGTTATTTTCTGTGACACAATTGTGAATCCATTATAAGTTCAAAAGTGGTCTTTCTCAATTATTTGTATTCTTGTTATTATAAGCATCTAAAATATCAGGCACCGTAAGAGTTATCATTAATGAAATAAAAATTACCTCATAATGTGTTATTATTCACATTTTAAAATAAAACTCAAGAAAATAATTTAATTTGATTTATATTAGGTCTTTTCCACCAGCCACTCGTAGTAAAAATCAAGTAAACCACAAGTAAAGCACAAACTGAGAGCGTAACACAAAAAAATGCCAAATAACGCTCTTTACACATATTTTCATGCAATAGCTTTGTGTATAATCTGGTGAGAACACCAATGCCGCACAAATAAACAATACAAAAATTTAAATTCAAACCAAAACAGCTGATTCACACATTTTACTTAAAATAAAATGTACGAATAAAATCTGTGTAGTATTTTCAAATTTCGACAGGGATGTTATGCTCTCTCAGATGCTCTAATTTACTTGAAAATATGCTGGTGGAACGCACTTATGTATACACAGTATTACTCGATGTTATTACGAGTAGCTCGTGAAACAGACTTTAAATATATAAGACAAAAATTATATATAACAATAAATAAGTTATAATTTAATACATTATCAACACGTGTACTATATTTTATAGGCAAAGAATTTAAAGAATTTGTAACGAAAATTTACTTGCTAATTTAAACCAACTTCTTTGTAATTGCTTAACCGGTAAGCAATTCAACCAAGCAGAGTTGCCAAAACTATAAATACGTCTATTGTGAATAGTTTATAAAAATGCGCGCAAAATTTTTGCCAGTTGTCAAATGTTTTTGTTTATTATTATATTTAGTTTTTTAAATCTATATATCCTTTTATATTCGCAATACCTACATTTTGACTATGTTTATGTTTAGATTTAAGTTTATTGTTAATATTTCCAATAATGAATCATGATGATATCTGTTTTGTATATCATTATTTGTGCTCAATGTAATTGGATGCCACCCAAAATAGTAGTTCTTTTATATCATTTTTTATAGCTTAGATTAGGCTTTATAAATTTTTATGAAATTCCATATATATATAGTTTGTTCAGATTTTAATTTTTGTTGCTTAACCTTTGTGACATATCTAACAATAATAATAACACGAATATGAGCTTAATTTTGATAACATTTCATTAAAATGATATTGAATTATTCACGCAATGACTATTATTACAAATGTTATCTTTTAACTTGTATTTTTGAGGTTACTTATGACAAAATAAACTATGTTTCTTATACGAAACTATTGTTTTAATAGAGAGGTATTCTGAATAGTAGTTAATAACAACAAAATTTTATTATTTTTAATTAATTCAATTTTTGGCTGACCATACAGCTAATTCGAGTATTGCCAAATGCCCATCATCAGTAATCCTTTGAAAATAAATTATTTGTAAATAATTTTGAAAGAGTGCAAGTACTAAGAGTTGAAATATTGATATATTTTAACTGCTATTGTAAAAGCAAAAATGGTAGTTGCTACTGTAATGTGAGCAAAATTCAAATGAAGTCTTGTCCATTTTACATTTCTAAGAGGTGGTTTTAGTGGGTTTAGATTTTATTATTCAAATGAAAATTAATTTTTATATTTATTAAAAAGTTAACAACTAAAATAAATAGTAAATTAAAAACAATGTTAATTTGCGAAATTTTGAAATTATCTTTCACAATAAAATTAAACATATATTAAACATGTAGTTAAGTTAAAACTTACTCAGATTCTATGTGCTTTTTGATCACACTTTCTTTACAGACTCTCAAAAATTTTTATATATCTTCAAAATATTTGTTTTTCACAATTCTTGTGTAGTTTTTAAATATTTCTTTTTGACAATATTTAAATTTATGAAACTTTTTAATTTTGTTAAAATTTTTGTTTACTAATAACTTTTGACAGTTCATGGAATTTTCGTTAGAATATCCAATAAAGATTCACAATAAATCGCTTATCGGTTTGGTTACATATTTTCTGCATTTTCTTAGATGAGTATAACTTGTCTCTTGGAAGAAGAGAGTAATATTTTTTTTTATGTACAATCTAGAAACTTTAACAAGACTCTTATTGTTTTTACCACACTTCGGAAGGGTCGAATTAAATTATTGTAGTCGGACTTCAACACTTTTCGTTGACACTATTGTGAATAATTAATTGTTACCACTGTCCGTAGAAGCTTGCTATTTCCCGTTTAAAAAAATTGCCTTTAATGTTAATAAACCAATATTTATATCTATATTTAATAAACCTTATATATAACGCATGTTATTTATTAATATATTTTATGTAAATTATTCGAAACAATTTATTTATAAACTTATTTATAGAAACTTTTTCGCCGTTATTTATTTTGTTGTTAAATTCCTTTTAAAATGTAGAGTACAATTATAATTATGTTGAATATAATTTCAAAAATGGTCTTGACCTTTTAAAATTACATATAAATTCAGAAGCTGATAAAACCATTTACTACATTTTTAGAATTTGGCTATGCAGAAAGCATGGCTAAAACTGCAAGAAAAGCTTCGCTTAGCTATTACAAAATCTTAATTTTACTTGTACTTGGGCAATCACTTCCTCCCAGATGGAGAGGGTACGTCTCTGTGTGCGGAAGCTCCTTCGAGATTACGCCAATTGTAAGCGTTTCCCATCGGGCTTCTCAATCCATTTTCTATATGGCAATGCCATGATCACTATAATTGACGAGTACCTCCTTTTATTTGCCCGGTTACACACACCCCTACCCCCGCCCCACTGGTGTCTTCACCTCCAATACCCTTCCTGCAAACCTTATTGAAGTTTTGTGCTTTGAACCCCACCAATGTCTAATCCAATACTTTGATTAGTGGGACTTCACACCGCCACCCCCGCCCCGCTAATGTCTTCACCCCCAATATTCTTCCTGCAGATCTTACTGAAGTTTTGTGCTTTGAACCCCACCAATGTCTAATCCAATACTTTGATTAGTGGGACATCACTAACCCCATCATCCCCCTTTACAACCGCAACTTTCGTGACTCTGGTCACAAAGTTTACCGCTAGTCTAGCCCCCCGCTCGCACTACAACCCTACCCCCTTCACTAGCCACAAATCGACCTACTCTACGCCCATGTCTCTGGCTTAGTTAAATCTACTCTGGTAGGTAATGAAGCGCATATGCTTACATCCCTCTCCCTTGATTACTGGAATTTTCCAATTTATCTTAAGAGATGGTTTTAGTGGGTTCGAGGCTCTTACTGTGGCTTTCTAGCTAATGAAAAAAAAACTTTTACAAATTGTAAATACAGTCGCTTCAGTTAAGCAAAATAATATATAAAAAAAAACTGCAATATTTTTTAAAATTAATACTTTATTTTTAATAAACAGTCTGTGGCACTAACATGTAAATCAACTATCTTCAATTATAACGCCATTTATAGTCGTGCCATGGGATTTCATATGGCCACTCAGTCCGGCGTATTGTGCAAAATTCTTGCTGCAAATCTTACAAACGTATTTCTTTTGTTCAGCATGGATTTGTTTGTGTTGCCGCAAATACTTCGCACTCGTGAATGCCTTATTGCAAATATTGCACACTTTATCGCGCAAATTGAAATGCGCTTTCATATGTTCAGTCAATTTATTGTTCTCATAAAATGCTTTGCTGCAAATCGTGCATTTGTAGCTACGTTTCTTCTGGTGACGACGCATGTGAGCATTAAAAAATGACCACGTTCGAAATGACTGTCCACAAACCTAAGTGATATACAAAAATAACAATCAAAAAATGACAACATTATTGTTTATAAATCTTGAATTCACCTCACAAAAATATGGTTTCTCTCCTGTATGATTTCGCATATGTACATTCACATCCGTTGTGGTGGCATAACGTTTACCGCAAACCTTACACTCAAACGGATAGTCTTTAGTGTGTCTACGTAAATGCACCGTACAATTGCCAACTTTTTTGAATCCACGGTTGCAGAGTGGACATGTAAAAGGCATCGAACCATCATGCTCCGATAAATGTATCTTATATTGATCTGGGCCATTGAAAAGTTTATCACAGTAGTTGCATTTGAAGGGACCAACATTATCCTCAAGGAATGATATTTCGTCGTAGTACGTGCAAAGAGGTTTAAATTGTTTTCCTGCTTTAGTGCAGTGTAATTTTCGATGTTTATCCTGCGTGCATGCATATCGTATTAAATATAGTTTCTTTCTTAAATCATCTGGTGTTAACTCTAAACCCATTTTAATCTTTATAGTATTTAGCATAGAAACCATAGCATCTTGACGAGAGTTTTTAAAGCGAAACTCAATGTGTTGTACATTCCATAGGCAAGGAAAACTTTTATATATTTCGATCAATTTAAGATTTTGAGATTCTGTAAGCGAAGACAATGGTAGACTAATTTTTCCATTAGCCAAGGCTTTTGCACCCTAAATAGAAGGTTTGTAAATAAATATTTTACGAAAATGAGTTACTTATTTAAGAATACCCTTTTTTTTCGCTTTTTATATTTAATGGTTTTGTTAAGGAACTCCATTTTTTCATAAAACCATTGAGGTGTATAATTTTCGCCTTTAGCTTCAGCTGTTTTTATCATTTTTAATTCACTACGATATTTATAGCGAAGTTTTTTGATTTGGTCGGCTATATTGTTGCTCTTCAAATCTGTATGGGTTTGTTTATTGACTGATTCTGTTATGGCACTAAGTGCTTCCTCACGACGTTTGCGATTCTTTGACATTGGATGATCATTATTCCATAGTATTGCATGTTTTTTGTAATTTTTAATAATTGCCAAATGCAACTTATTATCATCTACGTTATTTTGTGTTTCTTGCTCAATGTACTGTAATTTGAAATTCATTAAAACAATAATTATACATAAATATACTGAATCAAAAAACCTCTTCATCAGATTCGAAGACATAGTCACTTGCACTTGATATATACTCTTCTTCTTTAATCTGAAAAATTGTTTTTACAACAACTAGTCTTATTCAAGTTTATTTTAATTTATTTACGTTTGCCGTAAGTTCATTATTATCTTCCATAGTGTCATCCTCATCAAGGTATTCCATTTCCACTTCTTCATTTTTATCACTGTTTGTATTAAACTTATCCAATGCATCATTGTTACCATCTAAAGGATCTCTCTTATCAAGTTTAGCAGTTTTCCTTTTCTGTAGTTATAAATATTAATCTATAATTTAAAAAAAATAACACATCATTTAAGCTTTACCTCGGTTTCTAATGGTTGTTGCAACAAATTGCAAAGTTCACTTTGTACATCTAACTCCTCTACATTAGCATCTACTGCTTCTGTATTTGCAATTAACTTTTGATATAAGATTTCGCTTTCTTCGTCATCATATTTTTGAATTTGTTGGCCGTAATCTTCAGTGAATTCGGAATTAAAGCAAATTTCTTTGTTATGCCGCTCTTCGAAGTGGACAACAAACTCTTCTAAATTTGGGCAAACTGTCGTGCAATTTATACAATTTAATGTAAATACCCTTTTTCCTACTTCTATACTGATAATTATTTCTCCACAAACACGATAGTTTTTCAAATGACTTGTTGTTGCATCCATTTGTTATTAAGAAGTAGTACGATATCAACAAAAGCAAAAAGTTGTACAGTAATAGTAGATTTTGCATCAAAACAAAACTTCCTCTTAGTGTTAGAAATATTCACAATAGAGTGGTTTGTGAAAATGTGAAAAATTTAATTTCTCTAAATTTACCATCAATTTACTCGAACCCACACACGGCCGTATTGTAATCTCTTACAAACAGGTCTTAAAAAGACAACAAACCATTAGGTTGGCAACACTCAAAATCTCTTCAAATAAATACTTCCTGTCAATAAATGATAGTTTTTACAAATTAAAATACACATATAAAGCTCATAATAATCAGAAACAAGTATTTAGAAAAACAGGCATTTTTAATATTTCCAATGTTAACTCATACAATTACTTACGCTTCATTCATTTTGCTTAATTTATATCAAATATTGTTTTTTACTCATTTTTGCACACTTCACTAAAAGTCTGTTCACGAAGGCAAATTTTTAGTTTATCTTAGTTTGTCATATATATTTTTGTTATTAAAACGTTGCGCAATATTTTGCTTAAGTTTAGGAGAGTTATTCACAATATATATTATTAATTTCACTATTGTGAATTATGAATTTAATTGTAAATTGATTTTGTGCAAATTATAATTTTTATTTCAATACTATTTCCTGGTAGATAATGTAATATATACTATTTAAATTGATTAATAATGCGTACTTGATTAGGTGAAGCTTTATTTAGGATTTAGCATCGAAAACCACTCCTTACGACTACATGATGATATTCCAGTAATCAAGGGAAAGGCAGATAGCCGCAATTTTTTCTTTCAGAGATGGAAAAAAATAACTAATTCTGGTTGTAAGAGATTGGCAGCACTTTTAAAATATGTTGTATATATTTGTTTGACATATTTTTTTGTTGTGTTGTGTGCAACATGATATGGTACGAACAACTGGAGTTATAAAACATATTTTCAGTGAACATTCACAATAGACTGATTTTTGAATTTGGCCGCATTAAAACTTTAGTTTTTAATTTTTTTTTGGTGGGTAAAACCTAACTCTGAGGCTTTTAAGTGCATTATTGTTGCTTCACATGTTTTCCTTTGTAAGTTGCGAGTATTTTTTTGCTACTCTGAAAGAAAAAACGATGCAACAAGTAAGTAAACCAAGTATGCTGTGCTACCAAATCGCACTGTATATATTAAAGTAAGAATACCAAATTTCGGTCTGCAGACATATATACGGTAGAATTATACTATGGTCGTGTGCGAGTTAGGCTAAGTTGCGTTCTAAATGAGGGAAATTCTAAGTTGTGCCGATAATGTAGTGATGTGTCGATACGTGTTGATAAATGGTAAAATGTGTGCAGTGCAAAAAATCCCAAAAAATCTCCCATTTGGTTTAGCATCAACTTAGCCTAACTCGCACACGACCTATATTTCAAAGTGTATAACAAAGCTCATAATTGGTCTTACTTGGTGTGCATACATGTAGCATCGCCTATATCATGTTTTAGTGTAAAAGGTGTATAAAGTAAGATTTACGAGAAAAGCTAGAAATAACACTTTACTTGTAATTGGACTTCACGTGTAATAAAAAATAAATATATAAGTATATCATTATCTAACATAGCAGCAATAAAATATTCTGATAGAAATATTTTCAAATTATTAACACATTTTTTTAATATTGTTCGGAAATGTTCACATATATTTTTACATCAAATATTTAAAAGTTTTTATAATTCAAGCAGCAATGCGTACAACTGACGTTACGTATTTCAGTAATTAATTATAAAAATATGGCAACGTTAACAAAAGTCTGATTGACAACCGCGGACTATAATAATAAGCTAGAAAATTCCAAAACACGAACAACACATCCAGTGCAGTTGTACAAAATTTATTTAAAATAATTCACGTTATATGTAAGTTATATATTTTATAAAAATTTTAAAATTTATTTAAATACAATTTGGTACATTTTAGTTCAACACTAATTTTAACAACTTCAACACCAAAATAAAAACGAGAATTTCATCACCTGTGCAAGATGTTGCGTTTAACTTGTAATCGCGTTGTGAATTCAACCATCCAAAATGGTTTAAAACGTACTTTTCTTATGCACCGCGCAGAACCCAATTTCATACCAAAAAATGTAACACGCAATTATGCAAGGGGTCCGCGGGAACCATATTCACGTACAGAATCTGCACGCACACCAACAATGAAGGAAAAACTCATGGGTCCACCATCTGAAAATGGTAGGAAATAAATACTAAATACCTATTTAATAATTACTTTCATTGTTTCTATTTTTAGCTTTTTCTATGGGTAAAGGAGCAGCAGCTGGAGCAGCATTAGTTGGCTTGGGCGCATTAGGTTTTTATGGTTTGGGTTTAGGAGATGCAGATAACACATATAATAAATCAATGTAAATAGCTTTCTTTGTATTAAGTACTCATATATATTTAATAAATAAAATAATATTTTTACAGGCTATGGCCGGAATATGTCCGCGAACGTATACACACCACCTATGGTTATTTTGGTGCTTCGTGTGCCATTACAGCAGCGGCAGCTGCAGCAGCTTACCGTTCACCTCGTATAATGCAGTTAGTTACGCGTAATGGTTGGATGGTAAGTTCTTAGCTCAGTATACAATTTATATATTATTGCTTAAACTTATAAAAAAAAAAAATTTAGTCTATATTGGGCACATTCGCGGTTATGATCGGAACTGGTGCTGTAGCTCAATCTTTAGAATACAAACCAGGTATAGGTGCTAAACAATTGGCTTGGGCTGTGCATTGTGGCGTGCTAGGTGCAGTTATAGCTCCAATGTGTCTCTTGGGCGGTCCTATTTTGACAAGAGCTGCACTTTATACTGGTGGCATTGTAGGTGGACTGTCCACTATTGCTGTTTGTGCGCCAAGTGATAAATTTTTGTATTTGGGTGGTCCATTAGCACTAGGTTTGGGCTTAGTTTTTGCATCTTCATTGGCTTCGATGTGGTTACCACCTACTACAGCCTTAGGCGCAGGTAAGACTTTCATTTCATTTTGTTTTGGTTGCATTTCCTAATCATTCGATTTTGTGTTTTGTGTTAGGTCTGTATTCATTATCGCTTTATGGAGGATTAATACTGTTCAGTGGCTTTTTGCTTTATGATACCCAACGTATTGTGCGTTATGCTGAAAATTACCCTGAGTTTGGTGTGCGCCCCTTCGATCCTATTAATGCGTACGTTTGTTATAATTAATTTTATGTTTAAATTTAAATAACATTTATTATATTTCAGTTCACTCTCAATTTACATGGACACCATTAACATTTTCATACGAATTGCTACCATCATGGCTGGCGGTGGTGGTAACCAACGTCGTCGTTAATATAAATACTAGACTTTTTGCAATATTTGTAGTTAACAACAACAACAACAAAAATAATAATAATGCATTGTGATTTACATAATTTATTTTCGAACAATAAATAATTAAAATTAAGCCAAATAAATATTAGATTTTACTATTTTTAACTAAAGTTTTTATGTATTTATTTATTTTTTGCTGTTAACTTTTATGTATTTATTTGTTTTATGTTTAACTATTTTTAGATATTTGGTTTAGTTAATATAGTTCTTAAATTAGTAAAACCCTGATAATTATTCTAAATGCTCCATAAATTTATTCAGTTGGAATAATAAAATAATATATTTTATAATAAATAATATATTTTATTATTAATGTTAATTTTTTCTTGCTGAGAATGACGCGTCTTATGACGAAAAGAATCTACATATTTAAAAGTTAGAAGAGTTCGAATAGGAATGAAAAGATTACAACAAAAATTTCAATAAATTAATTAAAAAATTTTGTTGTCTTTCATTTCTATTTGAACTTTTCTATGGTATTTTATTATTTTATGATATTTATAATAATATAGTTATTTTATTTATTTATTATTATTTATTATTATATTTATTTATTCATTATTTTATTATTTTATCTATTTATTATTTTATTTATTTATTATTTTATTTATTTATTATTTTATTTATTTAATGAGAGGCATTAGGTGTAATAAATTACATAGTAAGGCTATGTAAACACCTCATGTATTATTTATATTTATTACTTTTATGAATATGAGTTAGATCATTTAAAGTTAATACTTTAAAACATTTTTTGTTATTATATTATTCATATAATTTTATTTTTTTAGTTATTATTTATAATCTAGTAAATTAAATATTGTTGCTTAACTAAATAAATAACATAACATAAAATAATTTATTAAAATGCAACAATCTAAATTGTAATTTCTGAAAATCAATGATGAAGTTGTGTTATAACAAATATATTTTTTTAATATTATTTAGTTTTTAGAAGAATTTAGTATCATAAGAAGTTTGTGTTCTTGTATAAATTATAAATAAAAACATTTTTAATTACTGGAACTAAGCCCAGTAATAGTAAAACGTATTGAAAATTAATCGTAATAACAATTTATTATGATATATGTATAATGTAAACAAAATTTTTTTTGTTTTATTAATGTTTTGAAAAATATGAACAAAATTATTTAAGGAGAGGATTTAAAAGGAAAAATAAAAATTAGATTATTTATGCATATATGAAAATCTAAAAAGAAATAAAATAATAAAATAAAATAAAGTACAACATTTATAACTATTGAGAAGATGATGGTTTCTATATTGCTGAATTCTATTATTATATCCCCATCACCTTCTAAGTATCGAAAGCAATTAGAATGTAATCTAATATATAATAAAATTCAGGAAAACATTAATTTATATATCATCTCCCTACACTACAAAAATCAATGGGTTATCGCTGTTTCTTAATATTGGATAAATTTACGGGAGACATAAATTAATACTAAATTAATACTGGACTTAATATTGTAAGTCCTGCTGTTAAAGAACAAATATAGTATCAGTAATAAAGTAATAAAATTGTTCACGTATATTTACATGATATAAACAGAATCGTTTGCCTTTATTGAAGTCAATTAAATTATTTAAAATAATAAAAAAAATAATAAACCGTATTTTATTTAGTAAATTTTGAAAGCATAATCAAAATGTAATTAAAGTACTGTCTATAATACTTAACTATATAATATTTTAAACTTATCAAAACTTATTACCAAAATTTTGTATAGATTTTATATGAAAATGCACACCAATCTTAAGGGTTAATGTTTGGCAGTAAACTGTAACTAAAGAATTTTATAAATATTACTTCAGACTTAAAGCGATAAAATTGGTCCTTATTAACGAATTAATTCACAGAATTAGTATAAATTTAATTTAGGTATATTGATTGAGCTACAGCACCATTACTTATTATACACTTAAGTCAAATAATGAAAACATCATTTAGAGAATCAACATGAATCTAAACATTTTTAAACACAATTTTTACTTCAATTATTTTTATGCTGATCATTAGGCGTCGTACAATAACCTAATAACCACTTCTTAAGTCTTCTGGTTTTTATAAAATGTAGCAATAAAGGTTTCAATACCTTTAAAAGGCACTTTTTAGCCTTTTAATTACTCTAGGAAAGTAATAATTATAGAGTTATATCATTTAAATAATTAAGGATTCTTTTAATTTTCATACCATTTTAATACCATAAATCTATTGTAAAATAATAATCGATTTAATTAGTAAGAAAGAAAAGACCGGTCTTAAGATAAGTTATAGATTTGTTATTATGACATACAGAGAGATTTCATATAAATGAATCAAATGATTTAAGGTGAAAAAGTGCATAATAAATAAATCAGCTAATGCCAATGGAAACGACCACATCTTAATTTCATTAACATAAGTAGTCTTAGTCTTATAAGTAGTCACATTCAAACTGTCTTATTTAAGCGTTTTTACCCATAACCATTAATTGTCGTATGCAATCCTTATAAATAAATTTCTCACAAGGGAAATTACCAAAAATTGAAATTTTTGTCATACATTTCACATGTAAAATATAAACAAAGGCAGTGAGGAATTGAGTATTTAATAAAATCTTTGTTTCTATTAATTAAATATATAATTGATATATAAACTGTATATAAATGATTAAATATATCAATTATATATTTAGACCGTGTGCTAGTTCGAGTAAATTGATGTAAAGTAAATTGAAATTTCCTAGGGGTTTTTTACACTGCACTTATGTAAATATTTATTTATTTATTCATTGCAATTATTTATTATTTTTGGTTAAAAGTTTTCAAATTTATTTATTTATTTATTAAACATCTTATAAAATTTTTACAATGGTCATACCTAATAATATAGTTATATATATTATTATATAGTTATAATATAGTTATAATTTTTATCTAATTTACCCCATTCGAAATTCTGGTAAATACCAATATTCGCTACCATGCCGACATAGTTTACATAGTTTATTACTATCCTCATTTTACCATCAATTTACTCGAACACGCACGCGGCCTTAATATATTTGTGTGATATATTATTAAGTGAAGTTTATAAAAGTTTTATCAGCTGCATAATGAGCTCATTATAATATGAACGTTTCCTCATTAATATAAATGAGCAAGTGCCTAAATGAGACAGTGTGAATGTACTATAAGCTGCAATGGAAACATGAGGCGTTTTCGGTGGCTCGCAAGTACGGCAAAAAATGCATGTTGGCCTATGTTGGCCACGCGAGTCATTGGCATCACTGTTGCAATCTGTCAAATGTTTTGTTTTGACGTTTTGATGTTTTGTATATGTGCATATAAATCAAATATATTTTTATAAAAATATTATAAAATTAAAATGAACAAGGAATTAAAAGGAATGGTAAGAATATTGGAAATTTAAAAATAAAACACTAAGATAAGTAAATTTTTGTAGGTACTGTCGATGTTGGGAGAAGAAAGCAACGTTTTACTTCTATAAAAAAATTTTTTACGCATGTAAACTACAAATTAAATGAAATAAAATAAATGTTACTTGGTAATAACTAACATAAAAAAATTCAATGTACTTAATATTTACGATTTCTACATTCTTATTATTTTTTCGTTACTTTTCAAGATTTTTCAAATTTTTGAATTCTGTTTGAATTTTTATTTCCTCAATTTTTGACATTTGATTGCACTATTCGTTGGAATTTTCAATGAAGGTTCACAATAGTTTGCTTATTGCGTTGGTAACATTTTTTTTTTACTGGCCGATGTGGTTGGCCAGCATAGCTATGATGGCCGAGGTAGAGAAAATAGTGTTGTTGTTTTGCGTACATTGCGGCCAGTATAGGCCTGCATAGGCCAGCAACTTGCTGTTTTTTGCCGTACTTGCGAGCCACCGAAAAGGCCTATGATAGAACGTACGCATTATAGTTTATTAGTTAAAGGAAAATTAAAAACAATGATGAATACATATACTATATAACAAAACATATTCATTTAAAATTTAACATATTTGACAAAACTTTCAAAAACGTTAATATAGAAAAGCTGTCAAACAGTTTGGCTGTCAAGCAAAATTGACATAGAGCAATATAATAATTTATCGATTATTGGTACGTTTTGTCTCGTTCGTTAGAAACTTATTTCCTACGACAATTTAATACGAAAAGTGCATTTAAATCTTTTAACTTACTTATTAATTACTAAAATAATTAAAATAATATATGTAAATATATATTTATATATCACTTCAACCGACTATTATTACAATGGGGGAATAAAAGCTTAATACAATCGCTTGTAATTTAATTTTTCAAGAGCTTCCTGTGTTTCATCGATTAAAACATTTTAAACACTTTGCAGACAGATCAAGTTAGCCGGTTGAACATTGTTGAGAAGTTGAAATAACTTAAATAAATAAGTTTTATATTTCTATCCTAATAGATAAATTTAAATCAAGTCAGATATAAAAGTACTCGGATTTTAAAAGCGCTTGACACTGCAAGCAGCCCTAAAGAAAATTCAGGTACGAATACTGCCACGCCCCGCATATTATAAAATTGCGTCTTTTCAATTTTAATTTATTTTTTTTTTTTTAGAAGAGGCTCCAAAAGAGGATATGACCGAAATGGATAAGCGTTATTTAGATAACCCTTATCCCGATTATATGGGCGAACCAACCACACCAAGCGGCTACGATGAAGAGCATGTGAAGGATCTTATTTGCACCTATGTTGATTCTATCTTAGAGTACGTACGTCCCGGTGGCGATGATGATTCACGTGGGGATTTGTATGTTGGCAATGCTGGCATTGCATATATGTTTTGGAAGATGTCGCGTTCTGAGAGATGCAGAGACTTGTATCCCGCACTGGATCACGCTTCAGCTTTTATACGTGATGCTAAAATAAATGGTGAACGTTATAAGAAACGTTCTGCTGAGCGTTACTCTTATTTGTTAGGCAATGCCGGTATTTTTGCTGTGTCTGCTGCAATTTCGCATGACTTAAATCAGACAGAGGATCTGTCAAATGATCTGGCTAACTTCAAGTCTGGTATATCTGCAAGCAAGGAGTATATAAGCACTAAAAATGGTTGCGATGAAGTACTTGTTGGACGTGCTGGTTTTTTGACAGGTTGCTATTGGTTGAATGACGTTTTAAGTGAAAAAAGAATTACCGATGACGATATAGTTGCGATTTGTCAATTGATTATTTTAAGTGGACGTGAATATGCTAAGCATACTGGTTCGCCATTACCACTTATGTATCAGTATCATGGCACTGAATACTTGGGTGCGGCTCATGGCCTATGCGCCATATTACAAGTACTGCTGGACAGTCCATGGTTTCGCACAGATCCAATTTCTGCACCCAGTGCTGATCTACGTGATATCAAACGTTCTATTGACTTCTTTCTTTCGTTACAAGATCAAGAGGGCAATTTCCCAGTAGCACTTGAAGATTTGAAAACTGGTCGTGAAAAACGTTTGGTACATTGGTGTCATGGTGCACCTGGTGCTGTTTATTTATTGGCAAAAGCGTATTTGATATTCAAGGAGGATAAGTATTTACATAGCTTGCGTCATGCTGCTGATTTGGTGTGGAAGAAAGGCTTTTTGCGCAAGGGTCCAGGTATATGTCACGGTGTCGCTGGCAATGGCTATGTATTCTTGCTAATGTATCGTCTAACCAATGAGCCTAAGTATATGTATCGTGCCGTTAAATACATGGAGTTGTTGACCAATTCGGAATTCAAGCATCGTGCCAGAACACCAGATCGTCCCTTCAGTTTGTATGAGGGCGTGGCTGGTACTGTATGTTTCTTGATTGATTTGTTGGAACCGGAGCAGGCACACTTCCCTTTCATGGAGGTGTTTCGTTAAATGAAATCACATCACATCACATATATTTAATAATACAGCAAGGCAGGAATTTTCACGCATATCAGGGAAAACTCAAGCGTATGTTTATTAAAAATTGTTTAATTTATTATATTTAATATTACTAAGCTATTGGCATATATTTGAAGCGTTTACATAAAATTAACAGTATTCATTAAAAAGAATTTGAATTGATACTTAAGCGGCTGTTTCAGTGATGTTTTATTACTCATATTTAAAATTGTATTTTCATTCGATTTAAGAATTAAAATTAGATATTAAACAAAATTAAGAATTACGTAGAAGCCTAGTCATTTATTAAAATTTATTAAAAATTATTATCACAGACTCATATTAAATATATACAAGAATTATAAGAAAAATCAAAAATATTACAAGTATATAAACATTATTATATTTATTATAAAAATATACAAATATAATTCAAAATGACTATTTTTTGAAAATTTGCATAGCAATTCTCTACCGTGCTTAATATGTATTTTGATTATATTCTCTATTAAATAAACTTATTTAACTTAATAATATATTTAAATTAGTTTTTTATTATCAATGAATTTGCATGGATAGTGCACGTAACGTAAGCGTTTGGTTTCACAATCATAACTTGAGTATCAATACTGACTTAAGTATGAAATCAGTTTTCAAACTTGATTACTTAAGCATAACTTAAGTCTTAATACTCAAGTTATGCTGAATTAATCAACTATGGTGATTGAAGTAATATGCAAGCCTATATTATTTAAGTCCCAATGTTGATTTAAACCTTACCGAAGTAATCCACTTCAATGATCTGGAAGAACGACGTCTCCCCTTAGCAGCAAGAACTGTGTCCTGCCTCAATTGAGATAAGTGTATAGCCAAGTGCTAAACAGTTGCTTGACACGCATAAATACGTCTATTCCATATTTGTGCCCAAACTCTAGCTCTACTCCCCATGACGACGCCCATCTGTGCTCTTGAAACTTAGCTCAACTGACTTTTGGACTCACCCTTTTGAAACGGTTAGATTTCTGCAGCTCTGATTGATTTCAATTATATCCTCATTTGCCCCTTTTCCCCCTATTTGTACCACAAACACCACCCATCCACATCCCAACCCATATATTCGTCTTGTAATATTTACATGTAATTTGCTTTTCGATGTATGGTCGAATAATCAATACCCTTAGCGATTTCATATGGTGCTTCAACGAACTGCTTGGTCAATACACGCTCTCTTTGGCTTAATCATGAGTTTAAATACGATTCTAGTAGTATCACATGAAGAGATGAGTGTTACACGTCAAGCGAATTGAGATATATATAAATTCGTCAATGTGCATAATTTTAGGGACTCTAAAGGCTGCCTCTCTAAAGTAACTACCAATAACACGGAACTAAGAAGAAAGCAAGTCGTCCTATAATATAGTGGGGTAACTAATAAATAAATAAAAATACCTAGCCACTATTCTTACTAGATACCGATTCAACTTGGTACGACAGCGTACATCAATGATATAAGTCAATATGGAATTGACAAAATGGGGCCTAAAAATCACGAAGACGAAGCTAATGGTCGTCAATATCTTTAAACCTGCTGAATACTTTTCGATAAAAACTGGATGATTGAAAAATAAATAAATTAAATAAAATTAAATAAAATCATTTATTCAATTAATAAAAACAAAGATTTTTATTCTTTGTACTTTCTCAGTACGTTTGTCTACAGCTCAGCTGTTGTTTACATTTTACATATAAAAAATTTCAAATTTCGGTAATTTCTCTTTTGGGAAATTTATTTTTAAGGGTTTCATTTCACATTTCTGGTCTAATTTTCCTTACTTTATATTATTTTTATTTTTATTTTTTATGTAAATATTTATTTATTGCACTCATTTATTATATTTGGTTAAAAGTTTTCAAATTTATTCATTTATTAAACATTTTATAATATGTTCACAACGGTAATACCTAATTTACCTAATTTTTATCTAACATATCCTACTCGAAATTCTGGTAAATTCTGCCATACTGACATAATTTACTATTTCCCTCAATGTACTATCAATTTACTTGAACTCGCACACGGCCTAAGTAGCTTTTTTTATAAATCAATGGCATTTATTATTATGGTCGTGTGCAAGTTAGGCTAAGTTGCGTCCTAAATGAGGGAAATTCTAAGTTGTGAAGATAATATAGTGATGTGTCGATACGTGTTGATAAATGGCTAAATGTGTGCAGTGCAAAAATTTCCAAAAAATCTCCCATTTGGTTTAGCATCAACTTAGCCTAATTCGCACACGTCCTATAATAAACACTTCAATATGTATATACTCTACATATTTAACACTTTATACAACACTTTTGTGCACTACATTATCGGCGCCATTTGACATTTATTTAAATTCCTCTCACAAAATATGCCTCAACTGACAGCACAATAAAGCAAAAGAAACATTTGTGTTTCTCTCTCCGCTTCGGTCGCAAGTTGTTGTTTGTCTGCCAAGAAAAAAAGTGTAGGAAATTAGTTATCATTGAAAAAATTAGAAATGTTAGCAATAGATAAAATATATAATTAATCCAAAAATATATAACTAAGTGTTTAAAAATAAAGAAATAAATAATTTCTTTAAAAAAAGTAAGAAAATTGAAGTTTTTGTGTTCAAATGAAAAATTGTGCCTCAATAAAGTGAAACAGATTTTCCGATTTTCCTCAATTACTCATTGTCTATTTTCGCAGTTTACTTTAAAGAAAAAGTGAAGAAAATTAATATATTTTTTAAAGTTGCTTTGGAAATTGGAAAATTTGAAATAAAATAACGGCAGCGAGCAACAAAAAAAGCGGTAAGTTTGGCCAAATAATTGAGACAAAAGGTGTTCCATAATATGACATACAACATTCAACATTTTTCCTAATTGTGTCGATTGCCGTGGAGGGGGAGTGGTGCGCGTTTTCATTGGGAAAAACTTAGATTTCTATTAAAACATTTACAAACGCTGCAGCAGCATTTTACATCTGTGTTAGTTAATATTAGATATTTTTCCTACGTAATGTCGTCCTTGACATGAATTCTCTTATATTTATTTTATTTTTCATTTATTGATTTTTATAATTTTGCTGGTTGTGTATGGGGTGGATTAATTTGTTACTTAAAATAAACCAGATAATTTGTATATTAAATATGTGAACATTGCAAGTGAACAGAAAAGGGATGAAGACACACTTGTGCTTATTTACCACCTATTAAACATATGCCGCTATATTCCATATTCTATATTAAAAAGAAAAAAAAAATGCAGTAAAATATTTGAATAAATGTTAATTAATTATTACTAATATTTTTTGTGGGGTTGGAAAAGTGAAACGCGGAAATGTGTCTATTTGGTGATAGTATACAGTGTTTGAGTATTTTTTTTTTTTTTGACCAAATCAACGGTGGAGTTAATTGCCGTGAAAAGAGTCTTTGTATAAATCTTAATTGTGCTTTAATATATTTCCTCCCATTTTTTTTTCTCCCATTTTAGGCAGGTTTTGCCTCAAAATTTTTGCTAAAAATCCTTACTTTGTCAGAGGAAGTTCTCTCTATTTTTAGTCTTCTAGTAAAAGTGGAATATGGTTGACTAGGTCACCTGCAACCTATGTTTAAAAAGTTTGCGTAACTCGTTGCAAATGAGTCTTATATAGATAGCCTGGTTGACTTCAATTTCAATTCCACACATCCTACTCTAACTCTCTATTAATCCATTCCCCACCCACACAATCAATACCGGTCCACATACTAACCCATGTATTTGTTATGCAATTCCTTTCATGTTATCTGCTTTACAGATCCCTGCGGTGTCCATGAGCAACAACATAAACTTGCATAGATGACTAGGCCCTGAACGTTAAGTTCTTCATTAAGTTGTGTCAGTTCTATATATAGTTTTTGCAGATTTGAACTATTCAGAACTCATTTATAAGTAAACTATTAAACTTCTTTTTGATAATCAATAAAAATTAAATTGGTAGTTCAATATATATTTATAGTAAACAAAATATATGTTAAATATCGCAGTATTATAGCACATATATAATAGAACCCAAAAAGCGTTTATTAAAAATATTATTATATTATTAGAACTGCTATTTATTATTATTATTAATAATAAATTTTATATTAGTAGGATATAATGTTGTATATTAAGTAGTTCCACTATTTCCACAATATAAGTGTTAAGTGACCGACCCTTGATTACACTTTGTACAGGAATGACTTTACCATGAATAACTTGCCATACTAAGGTATTAACTTGATTTGGATGTTTACTATAGTACCAGATAATTTCTTTCCAAACGTTCTGTCTAATTATTAGCTTTAGAATATTTCTTTTTAAGAGTATATTATTAACTTTTTAAGACAAGTGTTTTTTTGCGATTTGTTATTTAAAATATTCTACGTATAGCCCTATACATTCAATATGCTAATTTTAAAAGTTTCTATACTTAACATATTAATTTAAAAAAGAACAAAAAAAGAAATGAAATCTTTAAAAAAGAAATAAATATATGATGGAAATGTTTCAAGATATACACTCTTCTGTACAGAAGTCCCTGTATCGATCTATTGTTATATCCTATAAACCTAGTGAATTTAATTGAAGGGTTGGATGATGGAACACTTTCAGTTAGATTGTTATACTAAGGGACAAAATTTTTTCTCGCAATAATTAATCACTAGCAATAATATCTTCAGCTATGAAAAAACCCAAAAGTGTATTTCACATAGCATTTGTTGGATTAAACTTGCTAGGAACATTTTTAAATGGGATCTTAATAAGCTGCTTGATCTCCTCTTAAAGAGTAATTTAGCTTTTATTAAAGTTTTGAAATGGTTTTAAACTCTTAGAGCTTTTCTACGACAAAACAATGTGCAAATAGGTCTTAAGTCGGGCCATTAGATCACTGTAATAATATTATTTAATTTATTATAAAAAATAATTTATTTTTAAATTGCACAATCCTTATTCTACAACAGTTAAGATTAATGCATTGCTCATATATTTATACTATACTACAAATTAAATTAAAACTTAAGGTTGTCAGAACCCAAAGTTAGTAGTATTTAAAACATTACTTCAAAAAATAGTAATATTGTTTGTTAGTTTTATTTTTAAATTTGTATAAAAACTATTTCTTATAAAAATGTTCATTTGTTCCATTCGCTTATAAGTCAATTATATTGAAGTTTAAACTGACTGTCTTGTATTGTTACTATTTTCAATATCAGCTAAGTTATAAATACTTTAATCTATAGCTTGATTTATTCAGTGATTAAATACGGTTTCAACAGTTGTAACATTAAGCAAAGTTAGATGAATTTTCCACGATATGCATAGATTTAGACTCTGTTAAAGCTATCTCTCTAGGATTATTGCTAATATAATGTAATGCAACGTCTTCGGAACTAAGAGGAAAAGCTCTACGATTATATAGCTTAGGTTAGGTTGGAATGGCGGACTAGATTGCTAAAACCCAACTAGATTGGCCACTTTCCACTAAAAAAAATCCAATTCTCCCATTGAGATGCCCTGTAGAGGTACCAGTTTAATGGTAGGTTTACTTACAGTTCACTGCAAACTAGGAAACCATACAAGAAGATTGAAACTCCCTTTCAATCATACCTGTCTCTCATCTACTCTATTTTTTCCCAGCTCATATACGGCGGCGATTCAATACTTTACAAACATTTTTTTCTTTAGAAACTTGCTCAATTACAGGATCTGACACTAAACATCATTTTGCGTTTCGTCAAAGTTTTTAGGTGGTTTTAAACCCTGAGTTTTTCTATATATATACGGTAACACAATAGTCCAAAAAGCCTAAATGGATCCTATAGGGATCTCCGGTATAACTTAACCTAATCTAATGAATTAAACATACTTTTTGTTATTACTTCGTTGGCCAATTTTTCTTAGGGAATAAGTGAGTTCATAATATGGAAAACCACTGGCATCTATTTATCTGATATACACTTTGTAAAACATTTGTTTGGGATATCCGGTATAACCTAACCTAATCTATTGAATTAAATATATTTATTTTTTTTATTACTTCGGGGGTCCATTTTTCTTAGGGCATAAATGAGTTCATAATATGGAAAATTAAAACATTTGTAAAAAAGTTTGAAAAATAAAGAAATTTCATCAAAACCTTTAATGGTTTTAATGAAATTTAAATTTTATATAATGAAATTTATAACTAAATTTATTTTTATTTAATTTTATTTTAATTTTAATTTAATCATAAAATTTATAACTGAATTTATAACTAAATTTAATCATTTTTATTTAATTTAATTTTATTTTTATTTAATTTTATTTTAATTTAAATTTATTTCATTTTATTTTTATATATAATTGCATTTCTATTTTAATTTAATCATAAAATTTATTAACATTTTTATTTAATAAAGAGGTTTTTCAAACAGTAGTGAACTACAACAACAAAAATTTTATTTTTTATATTATTTTAATTAATTGAATTTTTGGCTGATCATACAGCTGTTTCGAGTATTGCCAAATACCCATCATCAGTGGTCTTGGAAATAATTCTTGTATTTAAATTCGTAAATAATTATTTTTGAGACTGCAAGTACCAGGAACTCGTGCTCTGCCAAATTTGAAGCTCAGAGTCAGAGCAACTTAATCAACTAACCCAAAGCCGTGATTGAATTTTATATTCGCAAATTTTTCTGGAGTTTTGTTACTTTGCTGTGAAACTTCATTAAAAAATTCAATGGCTGTGTTTATATTAGAACGAAATCATAAACCAGCTGTAGAATAATTGAATTAATTAATTAATTATATTTTTATTTTCAATTGTTAAATTTCAATACTATTCTGTTCGTAGAGGCATTATTTGTTGCATGATTTGTTCTTTCTTATGTATAAACCTAATCTAGGAACGTAATGTTTATTTAATTTAATTTTATTTTTATTTATTTTATGTTTATTTAAATTTATTTTATTTAAATTTATTTTATTTTTTTTTTTATATATAATTTTATTATTATTTTAATTGAATCATAAAATTTATAACAAAATTTAATCATTTTAATAATATTAAAACGTGTGAGTTCTCATAGGAAAAGCGTTAAACAATTTTGAACCTTTTAATAATAATATTAAAATAATAAAACCACAAATGGATTTGCTTTCTTATAGTTTTATAGAAAAAAAAAAGTATTTTAATTTCAATAAAAAACACTTGTCGTTATAAAATAAAACAAAAAAAAAAACAAATGAAACGTGGTTTTCATAATCATTTTGCTGTTATCTAGCGGTTGTCAGTGCTATTTTAGTTGGAGAGAACACATGAGAGAAGGCCAAACAAAAACTGTGATAAGCATAAAAGCAAAAATCAATAAAATCTAAAATTAAAAACAAAACAAAATCCAAGTCAAATAAAAAACAATTTAGTGCAAAAGCAAAGACAGAAACAAAAGCAATGCGCTATCATTGATAACATAATTTTTTTTGTTGGTGTTTTTCATATTTTTGTTTTTGTTTTTGTTTTAATATTGATATGAGTTCTCTTTGAGTTTTGTTGTTGTTGTTGTTGTTGTTGTTGTTGTTGTTGGCAAAAGTAACGGCAAAAGTGGTACAGCCGTATTAGTGGTGGTGGTGGTGGTGGTAGTATTGCTCTCGTCTGTTGACCTCCTATCAGCAGTTGAAGGCAACAATGCTGTCAAAAATATATACATATGTATGTACTTATATGTTTGTATGTATATAGGGAAGTAACTCGTGGTACACACTCGATAGTATGTGCAGATGCAAGTGTGTTATCATCGACTGTACAC